GTCGAATTCACATGCTAACTGAATTTTCAATTCCATAAGGATTTCTTTACTTTTCTTTTCTTTTCTTTTTTTTTTTTGAGATAGGGTCTCGCTCTGTGGCTGGGGCAATCACAGCTCACTGCAGCCTCAAATTCCTGGTCTCAAGTGATCCTCTCACTTCAGCCTCCCAAGTAGCTATGACATATGCCAGCGTTGGTGGTACGGTGGTGAGCATAGCTGCCTTCCAAGTAGCTGTGACTACAGGGGCATGCTACCATGCCCAGCTAATTTTTCTATTTTCTTTTTAGAGATGGAGTCTTGCTATGTTGCTCAGGCTCGTCTCAAACTCCTGGCCTTGAGTATTCCTCCTGCTTCAGCCTCCCAAAGTGCTAGGATTACACGCATAAGCCACCTTACCCAGCCAGCTTTTGCTTTTATGAAAGGCTATATAGTAAAATGAAAAGAATATTTCTGATATATTATGGTTTCATCCAGTAAAATTTCATCAGTTCAAAAAAATTACATAGTTTTTAAATGGAAGTGAAATAGTAAGCAATTTATGTAATGTTTAGATTGTTGAGAAACCTAAAGTGGGGCATCTCTTAGCTTTCACACTGGAATACAATCACAATGACTTATCCTCCATCATTATCAAACTAAAAGCAAATTCTGAAAAATTGCTACATACCTGATATGTGTTGAGTGAAAAAGTCTTTCTAGTGGTTCATGTTTAGCACAACTATAGAGGAGTGATTTAGGGTTGGTGATAAGAACTACAGGCCACTTGCCAAAGGTCAAATCTGCAAAGCTAAAGAGGTCATGATCAAAAGCAAAGATCCGGTACCTGGAGACCAGAGGATGATAAGGTAACTTAGTCACTTCATTTTATACAAGGGCATGAAGATAATATACAGAACAAATATAAAAATACAAAACTAGGACTTTTTTTTTACATGATGAATTTGAATACAGAGTAAATAATATTGTTTCTCTTTCTTCCCTTGCTCCTGTCACTTTATCCCTCTCACATCTGTCATATCAACTGGGCTCTCATTGAGGCAATGAATTCAACTCTGCCCTAGAACAATACCTGGTACACAGCATGCACTCTTTAATTTTTAAATAAATACATGGTGAAGTCATTCATTTTATTCCTATACTTTAAGACTAATTTGAACCTAATATATTCATCATAAGTCTAATACGTGACATTCTTCATCCCACCAACAATGCTACATAAAATATTAAAATGGTTGATATGAACATAATTAGAAACCTTTCATGCTTCTTTTATACCATTATTTCTATAATTTCAAAGAAATTAAAGTTGTTTCATTTTCCAAATGCAACAACAAAAGACATAAAATATCCATTAAAGAGTAATCTAAGTTTTATATTTTCTAACTTTCAGAAATGAGAGAAGAAATGATTGACTATGGCAGAAACCACAGTGCTCACTAAATACTCTACATGCTCCTCTGAATATCCCAGTCTCCCTGATATTAGGTTGGGACCATGTGACTAGTTCTGGCCAATGGGCTATGAACAGAAGTGACATGTATCATGCCTCTGGTCCAAAGCACTTAAGAATGAGTGTGAGTTCTCTGTGCTCTCTTCCTTGCCCTGCTATGTTGAAATAGTGGCATTATAAGATGGAGGAAGTCTGAATCCCTGACTCAATCCATGGAGAAGAGTGGCTTTGACTCATACTCGATTTATATGAATAAAAAACATTTATTATGTTAAGCCACTGATATTTCTAGATTTATCTGCATCTACAACAAGGCCTAGCCTAATATTACTAAAATACTGTTTTTAAAAATTCTTCTATTATTACTAATCCAATTGAAATGTTTATAAGGGTGGATAAAAGTTAGATCCTTTCAGTAAACTCTAGATAAAACCCCAAAGTTGGAACACAGGAAAGTGGCTAGGAGACAAAGAAAGGAAACAGTTTCATAATTAATATCACAACTTATAACTGTAGTATTTAGGAGAAATAAAGAAGCTGATCAAGGTTTAGGAAGGCTATCTGACAACAGGCAATCCCAACCCAGACCACAGCCTCACAGCCATGAATAGACAGGTCTTAGCTCAAAGTAATTATAGTTGCCAACTAATTACAGCCTTCTAGTATAACTCTTTCACAGTTTCTAGAAAAGCCAACCAAAATATGGAAGTACCTTCCAAAATGTAAAGCTACTTTTTTGTTGAGTACCTAGTATCTTGAGAGCACTGGGTTTGAATAAATTAAATAACTGTAATATTAAACAATTAGATGTTAAACAATGATATGATAACCCTCTATACTTGGTAAACTATTTCACTTAAATACTTCTTCAAAAAAAGAAAAAATGTATATCTAACTATACTGTATGATTTGGATAAATACATTGTTTTCTGTTAGAGAGACTTTAACCTTAATAAAACTAACTACCGTCTATTTGAAGAACTTAAATCACTAACATCTTATAGCAATAAATAGTATGGTAGATATAAAATTCAGGGGAAAAAAATGACATTACTAGACTAATGTTTCTCAAAGTATGATCCATAGACCATCGAGTGGGCTTTTTAAAAATGCAGTTTCTTGGTTCCTAACATAGACCAACACAATCAAAATCTCTAGAGGTAGGGCCTGAAAATTTTTATTTTTAATAAGCTAGTCCATAACTCTTGGCTGCATCTTGAAAGTCCAATGTAACATATGATCATAAACACTACTGCTGTGACAAGGTTTTTGCAAAATGACAAAGATTGCCAGATACATATATTACTTTAAGGAAACAGAAATATCACAAGTTTTTCCTTGACTGAGATCACCCATGATAAAAATAAGAAAACTATCATTGCTTTAGCAAAACTCATGTGTATAAGTTCTATTTTGTGAGGTAGTTCCCTTACCTTCTATTATCCTTCCAGTCTCCCACCTCCAGTTCCAAAGTGCCCTGGAAGTGACGTGTGTGCAAAACAGGCATCAGTCCACCAAGTGTATGGAGATGCCCACACATATAAGCTGTAGCCAAACTAACCAATGAAAAATAAATGGAAAAAATGAATAAAGATAACTTGTGATGCCAAACTAATAAAAATGTCTCTTCAGAAAAGCAAGATAGTTACAGCAACATAAAAGAACTAAAAACAATTAATTTTGATTTTGGAAATCTGTCTCACCTCATTATTGACCGGATTCCTGGTGGTGGAGAAAGGATAGTGGATGTTGTAAAGTGTCCAAACCAAACTGTATGGTTGCTCCGACTACTTTCCTTGGCCAGTGATAAGAGCTCCTCCATTCTTTTCTGAAATGGAAGAAAAATGGAAGGATCTTAAATTAAGGCTCAGGATGAAACCTAATGGCAATAGAGGAAAAACCTCCCCTGAAGTTTTATAATAATTATTATTATATCTAGGGCTTAAACCCTACTAGTCAATGACCTGTATGGACCTCTGTAAGTTTCAAATGGTTTTCACATACAATTCATTTGATCCTAAAACACACACTGCAATAAGTAGGGCAGGCATTATCCTCGTTTGATAGATAAGGAAATTGAGAATTAAAGGAGTCACCACTAATCTTTTCAGCTTTGCAGTTAACAAAAAGGACACTGAAACAAAACTTCTAAAATAACATCACAGAAGGACTCGAACCTAAATGTTCATAATAGCTCTATTTATAACAGCCCAAATCTAGAAACCATAAACAAATTGCAATACAACCATGCAATGGAATATTACTCAGCAATAAAAAAGAAAGAACTACTGATATACACAACCTTATATGGATGAATCTCAGAAATATTATACTGAGCAAAAGAAGACAAACCCAAGAGTGCATATTGTATGATTTATACAAAATTTTAGAACAAACAAAACTAATCTACACTGAAAGAAAACCAATTAGTTGTTCCTTAGGAGATGAAGACAGACTGTACAAGACGACTTTCTAGGGTGATAGAAATGGATTGTGGTGACAGCTATACTAGTATATACATTTGTCAAAACTCTTCAAACACTTAAAAGTGAGCCTATTTTATTATAGACAAATCATACTTCATAAAGTTGATTTCAAAAAATAACTTGCACATAGTAAATATGCATTAACATTATCTATAAAATGTTTACAGTAATAGATTTCTGAGCCCTACCCTCAGGGTTTCTAATTTGGTAAATTTGGGGTGAGGCCAGGGAATTTGCATTTTGTTTACACTCCAGTTGATATTCATGCATATGATCCTTGAATCCTACCTTAAAAAACACTATTCTAAGGAATAGGACTCAATATAAGTTGTTAGTAATAATCAACCCTAACGAAACTTGGCACATAGGAAACAAAATATAACCTAATTAAATAAAATGTCTAACATAACAATGCATTCAACAACATTTTGTTCACTTGATTTCAACCTCTTTTGAACCATCTTAGTTCTCTGAACCTCTTAGTTCTAACTTAGCAAATTCTGCTCTTTTTTAATAGTTATTTCTATACTGGTCTTATATCCCACCACTAGATTAAATACTTTAAGAGGCCAGGAACTTAATCTTATCACTTTTGTATTCTTTTATATAGGCACAAATGTCTTGCTTAGGAGCCTGTGCTCACTAGTGAGTTGGCATTTGTTGTACCAAGAAATAATGAGAGGTTCTCAGATGTGATTTCCAGACAGTTTTAATCCAGCAATGGTTTCCACCTAGCCTTGTCAAAAATACGTTAAAAGAAACTTATCTAATTGAATTGTTGTTCTTCTCTTGTTAAGCAAATATATAGACCACTAGTTATAACTGGTAATTTGGGGGACTTAGGAATATACCAGGCGTACACAAAGCTGTATGCCCTGCACCTTGCAAAGTACATCCTACACTTAGAACATATTTGTTAAATGTTTATTGAATAAGTATAAAGTGCGAGGTCCTTCTTCCCCAGATTTTGGGACAAGAACAGGGATAGCAATAATAGTGCTAAAGTAGCCAGTAACTTCTAGCCATACCTGTAACCAAGTAAAATTTTTCTTGAACATTTCCAGATAAGAATTTGTTTACATAGGATAACTTTAAGTGATCTACATATATTCAAGAAAAAAACAAAATAGGTAAGCTACAAAGGGAAGTAAGATTTTTACTGTACCTTATCTAAAATTCCAAAGAAATTATAGGGTCTCTTAGGCCCTGGATTTACGGTGGCATCCACATAGATGAAAGAATAGTTGCCAAAGGGAGTACTGTGGATATAATGGAAAGAGCCATCCCTACGTACAGCAGAATATTTCCTAAAAAATACAAGACAGGAAAGTTTTAGTGTAATCATAAAAAGACAGGATGCATTTAAATTCCTTCCCTAATATCATACTAGATTTTGCCTCCCTCTGAAAAGAAGATTTACTAATCTAACAGAGAAATACACTAAACTAGATCCACAATGGATAGACCAATTAAAAGAAATTTCAAAGTTTTTCTCTGGTTGTCTCCAAAGAGTCATGCAAACTAATTCATCTATAACCAAACATAAGTTCACCATGTAAAGCAGAGAAGTAAGATGACTATTTTAGGCAGTCACTAAACATTTAGAAAGAAATGAATCAGATTCCAGTGAAATGGTATTTATCAATCATTTAAAAATTTAGTAAGAGGGTTTAAAAAAAATTTTTTTTAATTTTAATTTAATTTTTTTTTAAATTTTTTTTTATTAAATTTTTTTAATTTAATTTTTCTAATGTTTTTAATTTAGAGGGCCTACTATGTACCTAGCAGAATTCTTGGTGTAGTGAGATTAAAAAAAGATGTTTTCTTCTTGAAACAGGACTACTGAGGGTTAATTCACAAGAAAGATTTGCAAAAATGAAGCCAGGAGAAAAATGTTAGTCTAGGTCTGGGTGAGTAAATTTTTTCAATTCCTAAAAATATATTGATACCTCATACCCTATCAAAGTCCTAAAATATATTGATAACATAACACCCTATGAAAGTCCTCACCACTATAAGTATCAACGGTGTTCAGGTATCCATAAATTTGCAGGGTGAAGAGCAGGGAGAATGGATGGGTAACAATGCAGAGTAGGCACTCATTAAGTATTTGTCAAATAAATGAGAAGGAAAGTATAGATTATATTGGGGACATACCTGTATTATTCAAATGTCAGAAAATTATATAAAAAGTTATTATCATCTTTTATCTAAGTGTTTTACATGATGTTTTACCTAAAAGCACTTGTAAAAAAATACAGATAAACCTCTGAAACTTAATGTGCTAGTAGGGAGCAATATTTAAGCCACAGTAGCCATCAAATATATTATAATCAAAATAAATATATTATCACAAACATTACAATTAATACTAAAAAATTAGTCAAACCTAATTTATACAAAGTCAATTAATTCTATTGCCTCTCTTCTTAGTATTTTTAAAATTTCTATTTCAGGGATTTTTTCCAAATTAAAATTTTTATTTATATTTCTTTTAATTATATATATTTCTTGCTTATTTTATTTTCAGTTACTCCTCAGGATCTTATGATCTCACATATGTTGTTTCTTTTCCTGCATTTTTTGATGCAGTAAAACCCATCTGGGCCAGGTGCGGTGGCTCACACCTGTAATCCTAGCACTCTGGGAGGCCCAGGAGGGTGGATCACTCAAGGTCAGAAGTTCAAAACTAGCCTGAGCAAGAGCGAACCCCTGTCTCTACTAGAAATAGAAAGAAATTAATTGGCCAACTAAAAACATATAGAAAAAATTAGTGCATGCCTGTATTTCCAGCTACTCAGGAGGCTGAGGCAGCAGGATCGCTTGAGCCCAGGAGTTTGAGGTTGCTGTGAGCTAGGCTGACACCATGGCACTCTAGCCTGGGCAACAGAGTGAGACTCTGACTTAAAAAAAACAAAACACACAAAAAACACCATCTGTCTAAAAATAAGTCCAACTATTTGAAAACAAAGGTTAAATTTTAAAATAAATTAAGTTAATAATATTTTTTGAATTCTGGGTTTTGGCATTCTGGGCACTCTTAAGATTTCTTTTTCCCCTTCAGATTGATGTTTCTGTAACACCTATATCTTTAAACAAAATGCCATTTGTTAAATTCAGATAACATAACTATGTGACTAAAAACAAAAAACATAAAATAAACTTTAAATAAAATGACTACTTTACTTTTCCAATCAGCCCCTAAGTCCTGTTGATTCTTCTGTGAAAATGTCTCTTAACTCAATTCTCACAGTCACCATCAAAGATACAAAGAGTTAATAGAAATCAAAAGATCTCCATCCCTGTCCTTTTCCTTTCTCACACTAACAAAAGAGGACAACCTCCTCTTCCAAGTTATAGTGACTCTAATTACATAAATTCAGTTAAACCAATGCTTTTTGACCTATCATCCTCAAATTGATGTCGCCATTCCCATATCCAAGAACTCTGTTCAGATAGGTATGTCTTTTCTTCATTTCAGGCCCTTTCCAGATCATGGCTAAACAATTACAGGACCCTCCTATTTGGTCCACATAACTCTAGTGTCTCTTTTTTTTTTTTTTCCTTTTTACCCCTATCTTTTTCTCTTTTATGTTGTAAGACTGTTCTTTATAAAATACTATTTTCATTATGTTACTTGCATCCCTGAGAACCTATGCTGGATTATGAACTATTGCCTATCACATCTAAATTTTTATGCTTGCTACTTAAGACCTCTATAAATGGGTCCAAAGCTACCTAGCCAGTGTCCCACCAGTCCTCAGTATGAACTTTTATTATGGTGACACCAGTTTCCTTACTGTCCTCCACTCCAAAAGCTCATTCTAGCTTTTAAAGATCTGTTCATGCCTATCCTTTTGCCTAAAAGATACTCCTTGGTATATCCAACTTCTTCAAATGCTACCTGTCTTTTAAGATTAAACACACTTTTCATTTCCCTTAAAAAGTCTTCTAGAAGTCCACCCCATGCTGATCTCTGCCTTTTCTGATTTCTCATAGTGATTATCATGTACACCAAATAATCTAACATTTCATCAGCCATTCCTTCCTAACTGTTTTCTAAACAATTCTTATCCTCCTTAAGTAGACTGTAAGTTCCTTGAAGGCAGAAGATAAATTTTTAATATTAACTCTTGTACCTCTCATAGGGCTCTTAATAAATACTTGCTACTTGATTGACAATGTAGAGCAAAGCTGCTGAATACCCTGGAACTGAAAATGAAACTGCAACCAAAAGAAGAATCTCAACACACTGAAAACTAGAGAACTGGCTTTCTAATGCAGAGATCCTCAGCCTTTTTCACATAAAAATTAAAGAAAAATTTAATATTTGTGTGATATGGGAGGAAAGGATAAGGCAACCAAGGGTGAGTAACTCGGCTCTCTAGCCACCATGGATGCTGAGAGAATGTTATCATAGCATTCTGAAAACCCATGGACCTCAGTAGTTCAGCTGACAAGCTCTGATCTAAATGACTTATGCTATGTATCAATGGCCAAAAAACCCCAAAAATGTCTGTGTGGAATATTAAAAGGACCATTGGCTAACACAAAGCATTAAAGTACAGGCATGCCTTGGAGATATTATGGTTCCAGAATATGATAAAGCAAATACTGCAAAAAAAAAAAAAAATGAGTCACATGAATTTTTTGGTTTCCCACTGCATATAAAAGTTATTTTTACACTATTCTGTAGTCTGTAGTCTATTAAGTCTGCAATAGCATTATATCTAAAAAAAGCAATGTACATACCCTAATTTAAAAATGCTTTATTGCTAAAAAAAATGCTAACAATCATCTGAGCCTTAAGCAAATTGTAATCTTTATACTGGTGAAAGGTCTTTTCTCAATGTTGATGGCTCTGACTAATCAGGGTGGTTGTTGCTGAAGGTTGGGGTAGCTGTGGCAATTTCTGAAAAAAGGGCAACAATAAAGTTAGTCACAACGATTGACTTTTGTTTTCATGAAAGATTTCTCTGTAGCATGTGATGCTATTTGATAGCATTTTACCCACAGAACTTTTTATTTATTTATTTTTAGACAGAGTCTTGCTCTGTTACCGGGGCTAAGTGTGGTAGGATCATCATAGTTCACTGCAACCTCAAACTCCTGAGATCGAGTGATCCTCCTGCCTCAGCCTCCCAAGTAGCTGGGATTACAGGCATGAACCACCATGCCCATCTAAATTTTTCTATTTTTTGTTGAGACAGAGTCTCGCTCTTGCTAAGTTGGTCTCGAACTCCTGGCCTTAAGCAATCCTCCTGTCTTGGCCTCCCAAAGTGCTAGGATTGCAGGCGTGAGCCACCACACCCAGGCAAACTTATTTCAAAATTGGAGTCAATCCTCTCCAACTTTGCCACTCCTTTATCAACTAAGTTTATGTAATATGCTAAATCCTTTGCTGTCCTTGCAATAAGGTTCACAGCATCTTCACCAGGAGTAGATTCTCTATCTCAAGAAACCACTTTTTAGCTCATCCACAAGAAGCAACTCCTCATCCATTCAAGTTTTATCCTGAGACTGCAGGAATTCAGGCACATCTTCAGGCTCCACTTCTAATTCTACATCTCTTGCTATTTCCACCACAACTGCAGTTACTTCCTCCACTGAAATCTTAAACCCCTCAAAGTCATCCATGAGGGCTGGAAGTCAACTTCTTCCAAATGCCTATTCATGTGGATATTTTGACCTCCTCCCATCAATCACAAATGTTCTTAACGGTGAATCCTTTCGAGAAGGTTTCCAATTGACATTGCCCATATCTATCAGAGGAATCACTATCCATGGCAGCTGCATCCTTATAAAATGTATTTCTCAAATAATAAGAGTTGAAAGTCAAAATTACTCCTTGATCCACTGGCTGCAGAATGGGTTTTGTGTTGGCAGGCATGACAATATTAATCTCTTTGTACATCTCCAGAAGAGCTCTTGGGTAACCAGGTCCATTGTCAATGAGCAGAATACTTTGAAAGCAATCTTTCTTTCTGACCAGTAGGTCTCAAAAGTGTTAATATATTCAGTAAACCATGCTGCAAACAGATGTCCTGTTACTCAGGCTTTGTTGTTCCATGTATAAAGCACAGGCAAAATAGATTTAGCAAAACTCTTAAGGGCCCTAGGATTTGGGGAATGATAAATGAGCATTGGCTTCATCTTAAAGTCATTAACTGCATTATCCCTTAACAAGAGAGTCAGCCTGTCCTTTGAAGACAAGCATTGACTTCTCCTCTCTAGCTATGAGTCTTAGATGCCATTTTCTTCTAATAGAAGGCTGCTTCATCTACACTGAAAATCTGTTGTTTAGTGTAGCCACCTTCATCAATGATCTTAGATCTTCTGGTTAACTTTGTACAGCTTCTCCATCAATTAGCACTTGCTGCTTTACCTTGTACTTTCATATTATGGAAATAGCTTCCTTCCTTAAACGTTGTGAACCAAACTCTGCTAGCTTCAGGCTTTTCTTCTGCAGTTTCCTCACCTCTCTCAGCCTTCATGGAATTGAAGAGAGTTAAGGCCTTGCTCTGGACTAGATTTTGGCTTAAGGGAATGTTGTAGCTGGTTTGAGCTTCTATTCAGACCACTAAAACTTTCTCCATATCAGCAAAAAGGCATTTTTGCTTTTATCATTCATGTGTTTACCATAGTAGCACTTTTAATTTACTTTAAGAACGTTTCCTTTGCATTCACAGCTTGGCTAACTGGTGCGAGTTGGCCTGTCTCAGCTTTCGACATGCCTTCCTCACAAGCTTCATCACTTCTAGCTTTTGATTTAAAGTGAGAAATGTTAAACTCTACCATTCACTTGAATACTGTGAGACCACTAGAGGGTAATTGATTAGCTTAATTTCAACATTGTCATTTCTCAGGAAATAGGGAGGCCAAGGAAGAGGGGGAGAGGGAGGGGATGGGCCATTGGTGGAGCAGTCAGAACACACACAACATTTATTCTTAATTGCCATATTATATGGGCATAGCTCATGGTGCTCCAAAATAATTATAATGGTAACATCAAAGGTTACTTATCACAGATCAGATATAATAATAAGAAAAGTTTAAAATATTGTGAGAATCACCAAAATGTGACACAGATACTGTGGTACATGCTGTTGGAAAAATGGCACCAATAGACTTGTTCAGACACAGGTTACCACAAACTTTCATTTTGTTAAAAGCACAGTATCTATGAAGCACAATAAAGTGAGGCATAATAAAACAAGATATGCCTGCATATGAAACAAAAAGAACTAAAAAAAACGTCTAAACAAACAAAAAGAACTGAATCTGTCACAAAAAAATACGAAGGCCTCTTTTCTAAATTATCAGAGGTTGTTTATAGGAATTAAAAAATGTTTAACTGAGGCCGGGCGCGGTGGCTCACGCCTGTAATCCTAGCTCTCTGGGAGGCCGAGGCGGGCGGATCCTTTGAGTTCAGGAGTTCGAAACCAACCTGAGCAAGAGCGAGACCCCGTCTCTACTATAAATAGAAACAAATTAATTGGCCAACTAATATATATACAAAAAAATTAGCCGGGCGTGGTGGTGCATGCCTGTAGTCCCAGCTACTCGGGAGGCTGAGGCAGAAGGATCGCTTGAGCCCAGGAGTTTGAGGTTGCTGTGAGCTAGGCTGACGCCACGGCACTCACTCTAGCCTGGGCAACAAAGTGAGACTCTGTCTCAAAAAAAAAAAAAAAAAAATGTTTAACTGAGCACTGTGGCTCACGCCTATAATCCCAGCACTTTGGGAGACCAAGATGGGATGATTACTTGAGGTCACGAGTTTGAGGCCAGGCTGGGGAACATAATAAGACCCCATCTCTCTAAAAAAAAAAAAAAAAAAATATATATATATATGTTTTTACTCATTCAGTGTACTGACGGTACCCTCCTTGTAAAACAGACTCTACATATTGGTCTGTCTTCTGTTTATTACAGTACCTGTAATAATTCTCGACGCTGTCCAGACTTGGAATATTGTATGCATCTAATTAAAAAGAAAAAAGCAAACATTCATCTACATTAAAAAGAAAAAAATGTAAACATATTAATGACTAAAGAAAAATGACAACTCTTTTTATAATACTTTTTTTTTCACCCAAGGTAGAGCCATAGTTTCATTTATCATCCAGCAAACAGTGAGAAGACTAGAGGAGGGACCCGAGCCTGGATACCTTCCCATTACTGCCATAGGTTCCAATTTCTTCCCCAACCTAGAGGGCCTAGAAGCAAGCCTAGGGAAAGGGTCGACCAAGCCTCTGGCCCTTGGGATGGAGCAGGGTCCAGATGGCCCTGGCCCTACCACCAATTTGTGAACCTCCACTCCAGACCTGTCTCCCCAGGGCCACTGAGCCCCTCTTGGAGCCAGGCTAAATAGACTCTAGGCTGCTGGGCCCAGCTCCAACCAGGCTGGACTCCAAGTTCTGGACCCCAGGCTGGCTGAACTCTGGGATCCTAATTCCAGGCACTGAGTGGGATGGACTTAGGTACCAGGCTCTAGATTAAGCCAGAGGCCTTCAGGACTACAGCAGGTAGCTGTCCTCATGGCTAGGCTTCTGGAGCAGCAGAGCCATCTCAAGTCAGGGACCAGGATTAGAGTTGCAACTGGATTTTGAGAAATAGTTAATATTGGCAGAGCAAGAGTGGCAGGCACAGCAGAGAATGACAGAGCAGCAGCAGCAAAGAGACTTTGAGTCCATTGCAGATGATGGCAATGAGAGCCCCCTGGGAGATGACTCCTCCCATGACAGGCAGTACCCTCACCCAAACACAGACAGCAGAGCTGTCTCCATGGCAAGGCCCATGCTGAGGTGGGACTCTAGCATGGCTGGCATTCCAAGGATGCTGTCCTGTCTACATGCTCAATGATGCCTGGGCAGTAGAGATGTCTACCTGCAGTCCTGAGCCTAAGTAGAGGCCAGTGCATGTCTGCAGGAGGGTCTGGGGCAGCTGAATACTGAGAGACAACTGAAGCTTAGGAGCCTGCAGGCCAGGGAGGGAAGGCAGCAGGAGGCCAGTAGGGGCAAGTTGGCTCTCCCTGATCTCCCTCTCAGCAAGCTCTCAGGCTCAGCAGACCATGCAGCCCCACCAGGCTGCCTCTGCCCTCTTTCTATATATAACACTCTAAAGAGTAGAGGGCCAATAAATTAGATTGATGCTTTGAAAACCTTGAATTCAAAGCATCCAGAATTCAGAATATCTGTGAACTTATTTAAGGCACCTAGTATATTGGAGAATAACAGATACTTTGAATTATGTACTATTCAGAATAAATCAATTTGAAGTTATAAGATTGGAATGCTATTGTGGCTGCAGTTTTAATCATGTGATTCCAGAAGCCGGCAAAAAATAGAGTTATGCCTAATGTATGGATCAAATAAAGTAGACAAAGAAAGTGTTTAACTGATAAGAAAATTAACCTTTATAAAATAAACAAATCTACCATCAGGACTCTTTTGGAGAAAAGATCATTTCCACACTATTAATAATGTAATTATGATAATGTAAAAAAGGGAAGGGATTATTCATTTCTCTGCCCATGTCTATAGAGATTTGTTTGCCATTTAAAATTTTTTAAATTTATATACAGTAAAATTCATTCTTTGTGATGTACAGTTCTATGGATTTTGGCAAATACATAGTCATGTATCTACCACCACAATAAAAATACAGAATAGTTCCATCACTTCCAAAAATTCTCTCATGTTGCCTCTTTGTTGTCTGTCTCTCCCCACATCCCCAACTCTGACAACTACAATCTGTTTTGCCTTTTCTTAACTATCATATAAATGGAATCAGTGATATGCAGACTTCTTTTAACTTAAAGAAGTAAAGAAGTTTAACTTCTTTTACTTAGCAAAATGTAAATTTTTAAAAACAT